CAAGCTGGGGATCTGATCCACTATCTGACGCATGGCCTCTTCAAGGTCGTCCTTGCCAAGTCTTTCCATAATCTTTCCGACTACATAGGCAGCGATCTCATTGCGAGCCAACGTACCCATGCGCTCCTTGAAGAATTCTCCGTAGATGGACTTGAATACCTTTCCGGGTGCATTCTCGATGATGACTTCCAATAGTCGAGAGCCAATGGTGTCGTACACAAGTCCGTTGATCAGGATGGCGCTTTCTGTTCCTTCCGCGATAGGATTGTCTGGGAGAAGTCGGTGGATGATGGATTTTTCGTCCTTGGCTCGCGACTTGCCGAAGTGGGAAAGCTCCAGCTTGAGCAGAAGTTGTAGAGTGGGACTGCCGAGCGGGTGTGTGGTGAGAGTACGGAGGTAGTGTGATTCAATGCCAGAGACACTCTCGCTGATGACCTTCTCCAGAGCTTCGGAAAAGCTTTCGGGGACGGCCCTTTCTTCGAGTAGACGTTCCTGGTCCTTCTCTGTGCCTGAGACGGTGACCTTTTCCTTCTTCTTGCTCTGCATAGCCGACTTGTTCTGTTTTTCCAGCGGGGCGCCCGATAGAATGACGAGCAGTACTCTCAGTACGTGCGATGCATACTTATCGGTCATTAGGAAACCCATGTAGCCCTCCAGCTCGCCCAGGGTGTATAGGAACAAATTCTCCATGGAGACGAGGACTTGGTCGGGGTCTGACGACGGCGGTGTTGCAAGTTTCTCGGGTTTGGCAGCGGTCTCTTGGGTGACGACAGGCGCAGCTTGTATAAAGAGGGCTTCGCAGCAGTGGGACGCGAATCGGTTTTGCACTAGGTTGAGGAAGCTGCGACGGATTAGCGAGTGCAATGAGGAAGGAGCGACTCAGTACGTACTTTCCGCTGAACTTCTGGAACAGGCCCTTGAGCTGGTCGGGCGAGGAAAGAAGGATCAGGCGTTCGAGCAGGCGCGACGTCTGGCTATTCGCGATTTTCAGTTCCTTCCCGTCGGCCTCCTTCCAGACGCTGGCGAGGAAGATGTCGCGGTCCTCGGAGCTCTCGAACTGGTTCAGCTCGAGCATCTCGTCGGCTTTCTTGAAGTACTCCTGCTCCTGCTCGTCGAGCATTCCGTAGAAGGGCGTCGCATCCGGGCGGGCGACGTCATGCTCGGGGACATGCTGCGCAGGGTTTTCGGCTTCGAGCTGGTCGATGTCCTCTTTCTTGAAGCGCTTTGCACTCGCATCGTCGTCGGCATCCCGCTTGCGCTTCTTCTGGTCCTCGCGGCGGCCGCGTTTCTTGTGTTCCTTGGGCATGGCGGCTGGCGATGACGGCAGCGGCGCAACACAAAAAGTTTCGCAACTTCGGCTATTGGGCGGGGAGAGGTCTGCAGTGCTCACGCAGCGGTGCAGGGCAGGGCAGGCAGTAAATAGACAGCGGCGGAAGTAAACCGCCTGGGCCGTATTTACAGCGGTACAGAGGTTTGCAGGGCGTGGAGCACGGCAGTAGGTGGATTAAGGACGTTCTCCAATAGTGGCCTGACGCACGGTTGGATCTTGCTGGATCTGAGAATCGGCTGGGATGATCGATCGGTGGCGCAGGACGAGAATCGTGGGAGGGCGCACAGGCCGCCCACCGAGGCTCCAGCTGCCAGGGCGGGCGGCCGAGTCGCCACAGCTTGCCCGTAGCGATGCCGTAGCGACATGTCTAGGCGCACTCCAACGCCCACGACCGCCCGCCGCCGTTGATCGTACGAGATGGACGACAACCAGACTCGCGTCGCCGACTACCTCGACGACAAGCTCCAGAATGCCGCTGACCTCGACGGCCTCGACGCCCTATTGGCCACGCTGAACTCGCAGCATGGGCTCCTCCGCCAGCAGCTCGACGACGCACAGCGCGACTTGCACACGGCCAAGGAGGCCTCGCATTCGCATCATGGCGACCTCACGCGCGCCGCCGACCGCTTCACCCACGAGCAGGCCGACATTGACCGCCGCCTCATGGTCATCACCGCCTCCGAGACGAGCGACGAGGCCGTGCCCCGCTTCGAGCAGGTCCTCGACACGCTGCACCGCCTGGACGTGGCCAACGGATACGTGCAACTGCTGGCGGAAGTCGACGTTCTGAGGTAGGACAGCCCCCGTGTCCGATACGGCCTCAGTCAGCTGATTCCGCGCAGCAAGCAAGCCCACGCCCAGCTCCAGACGTCCAATGAAGCCGCCCTCGCGCCCTACAAGCAGCTGCGCGCACTGCACACCCGCCTCGTCAACCTGCAAGACGACGCCGAGGGCGCTGCTCCCCAGCTGCTCCACCACATCAACACCATCGCCGCCGCCCTGCGCACCAAGATTCTCGACGCCTTCGCCGCCGACCTCGACCGCACCCTCAAGAAGATACACTGGCCCACCCCCAAGGCCGCCATCCCCAGCCCGCTGCAGGAGGAATGGGAGACGGCCATCGTGAAGCTGCTCGATCTGCAGCTGCCCGAGCTGCAGGGCATGAGCTATGCCAGCGGGCCGGGCGACAAGGTCAAGCTCCCGCCCGTCCTGTTCCCGATCGAGGTGCTCGTGCAGCCGCTTGAGATGCGCTTCCGCTATCACTTCGACGGCGACAAGCCCACGAACCGCATTGATAGGCCAGAGTACTTTCTCTCGCACATTACCACGCTTCTGAACGACTACAGCGCATTCGTCAGTGACCATGTGCAACCTGTCCTGCTGCGTCAATTCCGCGGCACCGATCTTGCGCTTAACCCCGTCTACATCGATGCCATGTCCGCCTTCATAACCGCCCTACTGCCCATGCTGCGCTCCAAGATTGGCTCGCTACTGCCCCAGGTCGCAGGCCAGCCCCAGCTGCTCAGCCACCTCATGCACGAGATCATGAGCTTTGACACGACCATCAGAGACACCTGGGGATATGACGGCGGCTATGGCGTCGACGGATGGAAGGGCTTATCATGGGAATTCCTTGTTCAGGGCGACTGGTTCGGCCGATGGCTGCAGGTCGAAAAAGACTGTACGTTGGCTCGTTACCCAACGGAGAAATGTCGGGTCGCTAACATCCGTAGTCGCCTTGTCTCGCTATCAGAACATTGTCGAGGCTCCAGACTTTGGTGATCTGGACTACGAGAGCGTCGATCCCAAAGCCACCAAGCCTACCAAGGGAGCGATCCGCGTAAACGACCTGCTCGAAACCATAACCGGCATGTCCTCGCCTACCCCTCCTTTCCAGATGCGTCGCTAATCAACAATGCATTGCAGATCGATACAGACCCTTGACATCCTTCAGCCAGAAGCTCACCTTCCTGATAGACATACAGATTGCCATATTCGACAAACTCCACGAAAGGCTGCAGAGCAATCTGGAAGCGTATCTGTCCATGACCACGTCACTGGGTCGCGCTATGGGCGGTGTGACCAAGGAGGAACAGGAAAAGCTGCTTGGCGTCGAGGGACTGGAGCGCCTTTGCAAGACGTATGGCAGTGCCGATTATCTAGAACGGGCCATGCGTGACTGGAGCGACGACGTGGTAGGCTCTCACTTGCATGATTCCTGTGTGACCCGAACTTCAGCTAACCCCTTTGTTCTGTAGTTCTTCCTCGATATCTGGGAAGGTCTACAAGATCGTGCTCGTGGCCAGACTAGCAATATTGGTACCATGAGCGTGGCCGACGTCGCGGAACGCACATCCAAGAACGTTGAAAGTGACGACGTGGATGGCGGTTCCCTCTTTGACGAGACGGCATCGTGGTACGCGCGCCTCCGTGAACGCAGTGAGAAGATTATCATCGACACACTCAACAGCAATGTGCGTGAGGCGCTGCGTCCATATCGGCACATGTACGTATCCAGATCTGGACCCCTGCCCTGTGGATCCAAAACCCTATACTTCCTAATCCCGCCTACTAATATTTGCTTTTAGCAACCCGTGGGCAACTCTTAGCGGGCCTTCCGCTTCAGCCTCGACCGCCACAGAACTGTCACCAACTGCAGAAATCGACCCATTACTTACCTACCTACGTAGCACGCTAGCATTCCTTTCGCGAGCTCTAGCATCTGCGCCACTGCGCCGCATCACTCGGGCCGTCTTGAACACCATTTCGACGACGCTGTGGGAAAATGTGCTCAGCCGGTATCGCTTCTCTACTCAGGGAGCTGCTCAGCTACACGCTGACCTTGCGGCCGTTTGCCGAGTCGTGGACAAGCACGTTGGTCCAGGGGTTGCCGAAGCGGGTCTAGCCAAGTGTCTCGAAGGCGTCAAAATCGTCGGATTGCCCGTAAAAGGCACTTCAGCCTCGCAGGTTGATTCCACAACGGGTCGGGATGACGACAGTGGCGAAGAAGACGAGGACTGGGACGCGGGAGCTTGGGCCGCAGAAGACGGTGATGAGGTGCATGATGCTCCGCAAAAAGCAAATCCCACCCGTGACACAGCGTCTGGGGTTGAGGGAGGAGGGGAACTTGGGCTGTGGGAGGTGGAGAGGCGGCTTTTTGCGGATAATCAATCTGCGAGGGATGTGCTGGAGGACTTGGGATTGGAGCTCCTAAGTGAGACGGAGGCGCGGGCGTTGTTGAGGAGGAGGGTTGAGCTGGCTGGATAGGCCTGTGGGTTTGCGATTGAAGGTTTGAGGCGGCGGGACTATCGGGTGGGTTGCGCATACTGCGCGCGTATCCAATAGTTGAATCCCCGTCTGTCACGATGGCATTGTGGTGTTGAGCATGGCGATGCATGTGTCCGATGTAGGAATCTAAGACACTTCACACTTCACATTTACCCGACAGCACAAACCTGTCTCACTTGACAGCGCATGCTCATCGTCAAATAAACCTTGAATTTCATTCCTGGGTATCATATCCATCATATCTGCTCTGATCAATTTTCCCACATCCATGCCTGCCCGCAAACATTACTCAGCCCGCCGTGCTGACCCGGAAAACCGTCATCTCCCCGCACTGCTCAAGCGGAACCGAGCAGTCGCAGCACCATCGCAAGAGTAATCCCGCCTAGTTGGAGTACTTAGGATTAACCTTCTTGCCAGTGACCTTCTCATACGCCTTGCGCATGCCGTCGGTCTAGTTGTCATCTCGTTAGCTCTCACCCTCAACAAACTGCAACCAACACCTCGCGCACTACTGTTCACGAAGCAAATACAGTGGAGATCTCTGCTTACAATCTTCTCGCTCATACCGCGGTTCGCAGCAATCTTCTGACCCTGCGCGCCGCCGAACTTCTTGGCTCCGGCGTTGAAGGCCTTGTCGAGGTAATCCTGACCTCCGGCACCGGCACCACCACCATGGTTGGGGTTGTTCATGTTTGCGGGTTTGGGGAGGGTGTGGTAGACTTGTTGGGTATATGTGCGATGACGGTTGTGAGATGGAGTGGTATCGCGCGAGGGATTGTTGATGGTGTAGTGGAGGATGAAGCAGAACGGTGAGGTGAGTAAACAGTCGAGTCGATCGCAAGGAAAAGGGCCGTGAGTCAATGCTCTTTTTATGCGCTTGTCCACGCTTCCCTCACCTGGACCCTTGTTCTGTGAAACCTTAACTCGTTATCACGCTCTTCTTGGGTGAGTGGCCAATGGAAGGCGCAGGCTAATCACTCATATCGCACCGCCACGATTTGCAAGCTGAGGAAAGAGCATCTAGGCCTTCGGCTTCATGACCGCGTGGTCTACTGCGCCTCCAGTGACGTTTGCTTTTCTGCCATGTCAGCTCACGTCGCGGTTTGCAGGTGTCGTGATGGGCTGGCTCAATCCATGGACAGGCGGTGTTGCGGCCGGTCAATATTGTACCGGAGTAGGTTGCAGGAGAATATGCATCGTGGTGCATCGCGTGCATTCCTAGCTCGATCGTACAAAAAACTTGGCTTCTCGGGCCGCTGAAGCTTGGCCACGTAGAGCGTTCTATGTAGAAGGGTAGAGCTTGTGGATGGATGGATTGATGAAGATAACCTGGTTGACAGACGGTTGAGAACATGTACGTGATGGCACACAGAAGGCGCGAGGGGCAGCGTGGGAGCGGTGTGGCATGACGTCATGCATGTCAACCAAGTCAAACCAACCCACGCTGCGCATGTGAAGAGACGTCTAACTTCTGTTTCAACAAATCGTAAAGTTTCATTCAGGGTCGTAAGTATATATACAAATCATGATTAGTGCGCCGTTGCGATAGGCTGTTGCTGCACTCTTTGCTGCTCAAATGTCCGCTGATGTTCAAGTTCATGCTCCTGTGCCTGTTCGTCCAAACTGCGCGACCTCAACGGGACAATCGTTCCATTGATCCTCTCAATGTACGGCCGACACTTGTTCCACTTGTCATCCAACTTGTGCATCGTCTCTTTGAGTGTCGAGGTGCGTTTAGTTGGAGACTTTGTCGGGGACGTCCTTGCCGGTTGCTTTTTCGAACATGTTACGAGCGCCATCGGTCTGCGTGAACGTTAGTACTTTGAGTTCATGTAACTTGGAAGCTAGTAAATTGAGGACCTACAATCTTCTCATTAACACCCCGATTCTTCTGAGTATCCTGACCCGCGGCGCCGCCGAACTTCTTCTCTGCGGCGTCGAGACCCTTGTCGAGGTAGTCTTCGCGCTGCGCTTGGTTCTGCTGAACACCCGTCGTCGATGTGTCCTTGCTGGTGGGTCCTTGGGAAGCATTTCCTGGGATGGAGTTCATCTTGTCTTAAGCTTGTGAGGTGCGGGAAGGCTAGAAGTCTAGATGACGAGTATAAGCGGGAGACTGGTGCGATCCAAATATGTAGTCCTTATAGGTGCGGCTTGGACGGATCGTGGCGTAGACCTAGTGATTTAAGGGTCCTAGTGATTACTGTAGCGTGTATTGAGGCTTGCAAAGGTGACGACGCCACGACCTTGGAAGGTAGGCAAGTCTTAAGTAGGTTCTCAGATTTCACATAGGAAGCCGCGGGGCATGATTATGGGAGTCGTCATGGAGGACCACCAGCCACATCATATCAGCATATCTACCCTATCAGCAACTGCGCAGCTCGAATGAGTATTATCAAACGATGCTGCATCCCAAACGGGTCGCCAAACTTCAGAAAACTTGGCTTTCGGGCACTTAAACTTGGCTTTGGCCCTGCTGCCGCGTGGACTGCGGAAATAAAAGCCTTAATTGATCGAGAATAAGAATGCATCCTATCAAACGATGCGGAGACGTTGCTTCTCCAAGCATTTAAATCACTGGCCGTGGAAGCGCGTTGTTCAAGCGCTGTTTAACGATCCACCACACCTATGACATCACACATCGTTGGCTTCCAAGGGGATTTTACCCGGTATGACGCATCACTAGGTAGTTTGATCTGCGAATCTCGATGCTTCTGGATAATCTTTTTCCAAGCTTGGGACCGGAAAGCGGAACGCAAATGTGGATCGGTTTTGCGTGTCGTGCATAATGCGGAGACGGTGGTGGAGCGAGCAGGCATAAGCGATTTATCGTGGAATACTTTTCATGGCAAGTAAGCCGCGATGCTCGTATGAGAGTGATGAAATTTTGCATCTGTCATTGAAGCATGCTACATGGGTGTAGTTACTGAGACCGAGTGGATATGATAACGAGCATTCAATGTTGTCGCTTGCGGCTTCCACATGTTCAGCCTCATGCGTGCCTGCGCTAACCAGAAAAGCGCATACCACGTTTGCTCGTCTGCCTCGCCTGCTTTCGGACGCGTCTGCCTTGAGGGCATCTCTTATGATGAGCTGATACCTGGGTAGTGACTCTCTTCCAAACATCAGGCGTTCAGATCGCGTGCTTGAAACTCACCTTTACCTATGACCTTTACTTGATGGCACCGTGATGGTGTCACGTATATTCACACATTCCCTCTGTGACTTGGCGCAGTACCTCACTACCAAACGACAAAACACGTCAAGGACAATAGGTAAACGGTATTGTGCAGTTTCGTTCTACAAACAGGCTAGACTACCATCACCTAATCCATCGCGGCCATCACGCCATCGACTTCATAGTCATATCCTAGCAACGACCGTACCATCGTAAACACCTCCTCTCGTCCCCGATTACTCACCCCGAAACGCCATTGTAAAGATGAGTCCACGTCTAATGTGTACTACTCGATCCCAACGACAGAAAGAGAAGCCTGGGGTATCTCAAAAGGGTATAAAGCTGCTTGAGCTCTGACGACTCGAAGGTCCTTTAAAGCAATCACACCCGCCCCAACGCCGGTGCTTAAACGCACTGTATAATGGACGAAGACGCTGTAACGCACGACAATAAACGACAGAAAAGACATACAATGAAGGAAAAGACGTATGGACGAAGCAAAGCGATGTGGGAGGGACGCATCAACCGAACTGCTTGATGAGGGAGTGCAGAAGATGGCAGAAGAGTCCGTGGAGGTCAACAAAGAAGTTCTCCTGGCCAACAATCTCGACGAGGCTCTTTGCCTTCATCACGTCGCGAGACACACGGGGAAAGCCGTCTGGGTCAACCTTCTTTGCGGACAGGAAAGAAGACACAGGTGTGATGTTGCGGAAGTTGGGGGTGCTCGTCGTGGAGAACGTCCGTTCTTTGTGCGGTGCGGAGAAGTTGGGTGGCATTGAAGAGGCGGAGGTTCCGAGAGGAGGAGTGTTTCCAGAGATGGCGGTGGTGGGACGTGTGAGGACCTGCGAAGCTGCACTCTCACGTTCAAGGACTCTATCAGCCAGGGAGATGATCCGGTTGGCGATGCCCTCAAAAGCTTCGATGATCTTCACCATGGCCTTTGTGGCTCTCCGGTAATCGCGACCAGCCATGGCGATGAAGGCGTAGGTGCGCTTAGCTCCTCGCGAACGCGGATCCTGCAGACGAAAAACGTACGCGATGGTGTAGCCAGCGACTGAGTCTCCGAACATGATGGGCCCAGATGGCTTGCTGAGGGGAAGGACCTCGGTGGACAATGTACGGATGCAGGTGCGTCGCAAGAGCGAGTAGGTGCTGGGCGACTGCGGCTGACTGGTGGAGATGTAGTTCAATGTGTGGGTGTGTATGCCCCTCGACACGAGCATTGGTGAGGGGGGTATTGAGTCTGGGAACGAGCCAGAGGCGCCGCTCTGGTAGGAAGTCGACTGCTCTGTGTCCGAGACATCGGACGAATCTGTGCTACTGAGGTCGTCCCGGGATACTGGTCGTCGCACTGGGTAGTTCTGGGAGCTACGCAATACCGGGCTGCCGTTCCTCCCTCGACCGTCTTTTGTGGGACTACCAGGGGCGCCGTTGGGGATCTTGTCGCTGTACTTCTGGGGCACTACCATCTGGCAGTTCTCGCAGGCGTCCGAGTCCGAGTCGATGGTGCTGCTGGTTCTCCGTCCGCCAAAACTACTGCCGGAAGAGGAGGGAAAGCTCGGAAAGTATGGGTTGTGCGTAGGGGAGCGCGGGCTGTTGGGCGGCGACTCGAAGGGCGAGGTGAGCTGTGGCAGGCGCGCGTTAAGCTTGAGGGTGGTGGGCTGATCGTACAGGCCGTTGTAGGAGTAGGCCGAATGCGGCTCTTCGGAAGGCGGCGTCACACATGGGTTGCAGGAGCCGCAGGGCGAGGTCGAGGCCTGGGTGCAGATGATGGATGTCGGACCGTGGGTCTCGCAGAAGTGCGCGAGGGAGATCTGAGGCCGCGTTAGGCGGGTGACGGACGAGTGTAAGCGCGCGGGAACTTACCGTAAAGTCCATGGTTCCTGCTCTCTGTCTTATCTCTACCGTCTCATGGTGGTCGCTCTGGGTGGTGGTGGGTCGGGGTCGTGGCTCAGCTGACAATCGATAGCCCAGAGGGGAGTAGTTGCCGCGCTCGTCGGGACCGGGCTGCTCTGGTGTGGTGGTGGATGGGCTGTGAGTGGTGAAGAGGCAGCTGTCGCCAGGCACCGGTGCACAGGTTTCAAAGACAAAGGGTGGCGAGGTCGCGTGGTGAAGATGGCGAGGGTGGAGCGGCACTCGGATGGGGATCGTGGTGTTGGTCGCAAACGTTGGGCCGGGCTCGTAGGATTATATGGAACGGGCTTACAGCACAGCGCTAGGACTCGACTGGCACTCTGCACGGCATCGAAGGGGCATACTTAGGCCCTGGAGACACGCACGGCGCCGAGGACCTGGCGGATTTAGCTCACATCATGGCGAGGATTCCTGGGAGCAATTACGGGGGCAGCGGAGCATCTTTGCAAGAGCCGACGCTACTGCGGCCGGGGTGAATGCGGCCTGTTGTTGCGGTCAGTATCAGCAGCGCGCCATTGGCCGCCCAGCCACAGCACTCGTTACAGCACACACTTGACATGTCGACGGCCTGCACGCCTCGTGCGACACGGCCTGGGTGCAGCCGACGGCAGCGCGCACCCAGCACTGCTTCCAGCGGGCGTGCCTGGGGGAGTGCGCCGTGTGTGATGGAAGGATGCCGCCGTGTTACAGGCACACGAGCGGACGGCCCATGCATGCAAAGCGTCGCTCGAGTTGCATCGGCCACCAATGACGCAGCCTGGGCCCCGTGCATCGCCCTCCGGTCGCTCCTGCACGCTGAACCATGCGCCACTTCCCGATCCAGAGGGGATGCGACTGCCTCTTCCACTACCGATCAGCGCCCCCAACGTTCACCAGGTGCGCGTCGCGTTGCTTTTGTCGCTGCCCGTTGCACGTCATTCCCAATCTGCCACGGACGCACCCTCCCCATCGACGCCCGCCAATCACACGTCGCCTGAAACACGTACGGTACCTCTGTCATGCCCGCCTCAGACTCTGCGCCCTCCTGGCCCCGTCAATGGTGGGATGAGGTGGAGCGATACTTGCAGAATAATTGTCCGCCTCTCTATTGACGCGGGCGGCAAAGTCCGCCGAGTACCCCATTGGCCCTGGCCTCGCCTCTCAATCGGCCGACGCCAGACCAGACGAGCGCTCGTCGCTTTCCAGAAGACACGCACGGGCGCCTATGGAAGCATTGGAAGCTGCCAAGTGGGCCTCTCCAACGACGACCTGCCTGCTCGGCCTTTGCGCCAACCACTACAGGGTCTCGAGCCTCTGTCGTCTGATTCTGGCCCTCTTAACCGCCACTTACCCGGACGCTGGAAAATTGCACTGGAAAAAATCCGGGGACTGCAATATACACATCTGCCGATGACGGCGCTCTGCCGACCCAAATAGGCATCCTATATGGCAGAATGCACTTAGACCGAGCGCTGAGCTGTACAGAGTCCAGAGCAGAGTGGGTATGCTTAACACCCTCCTCTTAAGGTCAAGCACAATATACCACGATGTCAAGCTTTTAGCTAGAGCATACAGAAACTGGCCGCATGCAACACCTGCTCGCTCGGCTAGGTGACAGATGCAGGGTCCATAGTTGCCGTCGGCCTTCAAGATCAGCTAGAAATCATAGCGCGCTACGCGACCGGACCAGTACGTAATATTTGCGGGTTCGTCACCGTTGGTGGCATCGTGAAGCAGAAACTAAGCCAAGCCAGCAGGTACAAGCCTCAACAACCGCTGCAAAGCGGAAATTGCACGGCAACCGACATATGTCAATTCTTACAGAGGAAGGTGCAGAGTTTGGCCGCTACAATGTCTTCTCTTGGTACTGTACATGCTAACTCGCTATCATGGCTCGTGCTCATCATCCAACTCGCCTCCGTCAGCTGCCCGACCTCGCAGGATATCATACCCCATTACTTCGTTGATAAACTTCTTCGACACCTTCAGCTCCTCATACCGTATCCTTTCCTGTTCTGTAAAGTCTCTCGCCCCCGTCTCCATCATCTGGGCTATCAGTGGAGCCCAGACCTGATCAAGCTGTGTTATGCCAATCTGTGTACAAGGAATATCGTCTAGTAACGCAGGTGAAACCACACCAGCATCCTTCCAGTGCTTTCTCCAGCATTTACTTGTATGTGGCGACATGTGAGCTCTGTACGTTAGGAGATACCTTCGCCGCTCGCTGTATACCGGGCAAGCGAGGAGCTTCGCAACTTGACCAATACCGCCAAGTATCAGGAAGAAAGCGACATCCTCTGAACAAGCTGGCTGGTTTGAAAATCCCCGCAGGAACTTCTCAACTGCTCCAGCACGGCTGCAAGGTCTCAACTTCCGAAGTAGCACCTGCACAATGAAACAGTACATGTAGAAGTACTGCAGTCGTAATGGTGCATCCAGATTCTTCAAGATCTTCCTTTCTTGGCTGCTGATACCACCCGTCGTACGGACGTGATAGCCAATACGGGAGCGTGGTCGAATGTGGCCAAGATCTCTTTCCAGAAGCAGTCGTCGATGTTCATCTAGAAAGTAGCCTACCCCAAAGACCAGGGGCAGCATCCTCTCGTACACCGATGTCCACAGCTGCTTCTGTTCGGTTGGCTCCCCTACGAGGTGATTGGCAAGCTGACGTGTCAACCTGATGGACGCTATGTGTCGCCGTCTCATAGTGAGTAAGAACGGGAAGTCGATCGCGTCCGGTCTTGGAGCCGGATAAAGTTGTAGATGAAGATTGCCGAGCCGGTTCTTCACCCAGTAGCGCACAATCGCAGGTGCGTTCTCTGTCACAAGCATGTTGAGCACGCGGGACGTTCTCCTCAAAGCAAGCAGATCCGAGACGCACAGCTCGCGCAGCATGTAAATGTGGAGTTCATCTGGCAACCGAAACAATGCATCCAGAAATGGGCTGTGTTGCGATGATCAGTGGTGTTCCCCAGTGTGTGAAGTGGACACGGTACGTACCTCGAGGGGCTCGGCTCTAGCTCCTCATCTGCACCACTCTTCCTCTTACTCCGTAGCGACGCAAGAAATCTACTCTGAAAGCCACCTGCCGCCCTGCCCAAACTCGATCTCTTCTTCGCGATCGCCTTGTCCCCCGTCACAGTCCCAGATCCCGATCGGTTCCTCACCCGCTCGGGCGCTGGGTGGCCTCTCTGAAACTTCTCCATGGCCATATCGCGATCGGCCAATCCAGGCTAAACACAGCCTCGTGGAAGCGGCAGCGCTCAGCGCGCGTTTTCGTTGCGTTACGTCAACGTCTGAAACTTCATTATCGCAATAAAGACTGCAGCATCCTTTGGTAGCACAAAAAGTGTAGGCGAGAGACGTTGGGTAGGGAGGTGGAGTTGTCAGGAGCGAAACTGGACGGCCATGCGCATGATGAGATGCAGAACAGATTGGCCTTAGCTTTCCCAGCGTTCGGGCATCGGTAAACACGACAGGCATGGTACGAGGCCCGGTCCAAGCCACATGGCCACGAGGGATAAACTCTGAAACGCGGCGGATTTGCCGGACCGCTGATAAAGAAGCCAGTCAGAAAGGGCTGATTCTGGAAGGGCGACTCGCAGCGCTAGCCGTGATGATAGTTGCTTGACTCGCAACCACGATCATGGTTTGTGGTGTATACTCAAGATTCGATCGTGCAACCACTGCGCGATGGTCAATGTCGGGGCGCTGCTGTGTATGGCGCTATGGACAGGTAGTCTACGATATAGTCTGCGCCATGCCGTCAGTGTGCATTCGCGACAGACCGCATCAACGTGGACAGTAACCGTGCACAGCGCCCATCAAAACGCCAGGCCAACCCTGCGACATCGACGAGTTGACACCGTGACAGCTATGCGAACCATGTCGCATAGTCGGATGACTTTGGCTGCCTCGGGCATCAACGACTAGCTGCGTCTCCGCCTGAACCCTATGTAGGCAAATCGTAATAACGGCCGTAAGCAGCGCGACCACGGTGGCCTCTTATCTCACAATAATCATGACAATCCTCATGAAAGTCAGGAGTCTATACAGTGGGCATATCTCGGTGTCAGCAATCTACCCGGAGACGTAGTAGGCTGAAGAACATAGTGCTTGGGTACGTCAGGATGTCATTCTCATGCCTTCCACATCTTCAACGATGTGCCCTACGCTCAACAGCAGTATATCACTATACAGATGTGCCAGCTCGGGTAGTACCTACGCAAAAGATCTGATCCAGACTCTAGGTTTGCTCCAGCGGTGACTTTCCGCGTCCCTTGTTTGCGTTGATCCATACTTTTCTAGGTACGTATTCATGTCGACAAAACACAGCCTGATATTTTTTCAATAAAGTCTATCAAACCCCAGCATATCCCTACATGCTCTGCATGCGTCTAAGGGGAGTCAGGCTCAACGGCGGTCGCTACGACAGATGCCATGTGGCCTGACAGCAGAAAATGCGGTAGCACAACAGCAGCCGCCGGGCCGTCGCCACACCATCACGACAGCCCGAAGCGGGCAGGAAACAATCCGACTTATCATACGCCATGAACGACTTGAACTAGGCAAGACTTGGGACTTCAATCCCGAGTGTGGCTCCAAGCTACCCCTCTAACCCCACATGACTTATGTCAAGAAAACGTAGCAGCAACAAGTGCCTTTCTCCGATGATGCAAGACGCGAGAGATGACAAGCCGACAGTACATGCATATGCATATGTATATCCCCTTCAACCCGCACATCCGCCATGTCGTACGCCCATCTCCGACTCCCATCGTCCAAACGTACCTTGCATGCATCCGCGCCGCACGTGCAGTCTACCGCCCTCCCCGGATAGCACCTCCCCTGCCAAAGCAAACGACACTTCATCAACAGTCGCACAACATAAATCACCATGCGTTCCACAACCTCGAAGCGACCTGTCAAACCTTTAATTCTGCATCCTGCACAAATAGCCAAAATGGCACCCGAAAGCTTCCCCGATCCTGGCACTAGAGGCAATGTGACGTGGAAAACGCTGTTTTCGAACGAGAAGACTGAGACAGATACTTTTACGGTAGGAGTTGCGACTTGCCCGCCTGGAAGGGTCGTGGCCTGTCCCGCATCTTCTTCTACGAGCGATTCTGGGAGTCCAAATCCATCTCTGCAGAATCCGGGGTCTTTGGGCGATATGGGGTTCCTGAAGTTGCATCGCCATACGCATGCGGAAATGTATCATGTCGTGTCTGGTACTGGTATGGTTTGTGTAGAGGGACGGGAGTATGAGGTTGAGAAGGGGTCAGTGGTATTTATACCGGGAGATGCGGAGCATGGTATCTTCAATACGGGAAAAGAGGACCTGGTTTGGTTGTATGTATTTGCCGCGGATGGGTTCGAGGATATTGTCTATCGGTTTAGTGAGCAGGGCGGGAGTGAGAAAGGTGGTAAGGACTTGAAGGCGAAGTTGTAAGGAGATGGACATAGTGGTAAGCGATACTGGAGGATGGACATTCTCTATCTAGACACACGTACCCCCACAGACCGCTCAGCGCGCCAATCCAAGAGTACCCGACGAACACACTCGGCTACGTCTACCCGTATTACCGAAGGTGGTGCAGTACCTGGGACTACTTCTCAGTCGGCGGAAGCTTTACCTGGATCGGATTCACGATGGGCTCGACAAGGGCCTCCTTCTTTTCTTGGGCAGGCGGGTCATTCTTCTTTCCAACAAAGACACGCTCCTCGTCATCGTTCTTCACGCTTTTCTTGCGCTCCTCTTCTTCCTCAGCTGCTGACTTGCGTTTGCGATAAGGCATGGCAGTGTTGCTTGTAGTCTCTACCGGATCACCAGAAGTGGAGTCTTCTGGCTGGTTCGGAACCTCTTTATCTTCGTCTTTGTCGCCGATGTCAGTGCCATTGCCGACAGTGTCAGCAGCAGTATCTTGTGCCCTGGGGCTGCCCTTCGCATTTTCCACATCCTCCATCTGGTCCTCGCCCGCAGTAGACTTTTTCTCATTGCTTGACAGTTCGTCCTTAGACTTCTTCTTCATTCCGGCCCACTTCTCGCCTTCGTTCATCTTGTCAAACACAGCCCTCATTTTCTCCTCAAGCCAGGACTTGATCTCAAACGCTGTATCTTCTACGGCTGGCCAAGAGTGGCTTTTATACAGCATCACCCAGTCGTTTGACTTCGGATCAGGATATACAATCAGCCCGCCCCTGTACTCCATACCATCTTGGCGGTCGGTCGGCGGGATGGATGAGGTGATGAAGTCATAGCGTTGCGCTTCAGGAAAGCGATGCGCGTAATATGCATTCGCGTTCGAGAGGATGCGCTTCTTTATATCGTTGAAGTCGAAGGTGTATTGAGGATTATAGCCCCTGGGCATTTCAGGGATGTCGCGCCTACTCATACGACGCTCGTTTCTGTTATTTGATGGTTCCTGAAGCCTTAGAAACTTACTCACCTTCAAGTCTCGATGAGGGTGAGGTTCGGAGTTCATGTTTGTTGGAACGTGTAGCTGACTGAGTAATCAAGAACGTCGTTAGCCAACGGGGTAGGGAGAGCTGATAAGAGCTAACTGCAGCAGAGGTTTGCGTGTACGTCGGAGCGCGGAAGGTTCAGGAAAAGGCAGGTGCATCCGGGTGTTTGATCCATCACGCGCGTCGCGAGTTACGTGAAAAACCCAAATATGGCGAGAACCTTTCTTTCACTTTCACCAAGATACTTGCTTACTAGAGTGAGGATAAGAGAGGAGTGGCATTCCTTTGCGCGGCTTATATGGTACTATCCCGAGATTGAGCGAATACCGCAACGCCGCCCACACATGATCCCGCTCCCAAACTGTTGATAACGCCTCTTCCATGTTGTTGCATCGAGTTCTTTTGGATTTTTACTTGCACTGTGAACCAGATTACGCCCCCAGCCTGTGAGTGGTTCTCCGCATACGATTACGTCACCGATTATCTGTTCGAGTAGCCACGATGGATGATGAAGTAGCTCGGGGAGCGACTGAAGGTGGCTGGTAGGAGGTGATGTTAGAGATGTTGCATGAGCGCTCGCCGTGGTGGGTGGATCGGATGTCTCGTAGGCGGCCAATGCGGGTTGGCAACCTTTTCAGGTGTCGAGATCGCAATATGGTTCATTGTGTGCCATGTATAACATGGCGATACACACTCTATGGGCTCATAAAAGCAGTCCGAGAGTGAAAGAATGACTAATCGGTGACATACTTTGAGCAGGGACTGAAAAGCATCTTCACGACAACAGCATGAACGACAACATAATCTTAGTCATTCAGTTAGCTTTTCCAATCGAAAGACTTGGCTACCTAGAATCTGACAGTGCAGCGGTATCTAAGATACAATTCTGGGCTCTTCCACCGCGTGGTGGTTGCATGAAACGGGCGTCAGTCGACCAGGACCTCATCAGCGACAACGTCACTTTTGAGACATCATCAGCAGCTCAAGACCAACGGCTATATACCTAGGTAGGTTGCCGGGTGAGCATTAAGGAACTGAAGATAGCCTGGGTGCTAGCTGAGCGCAAGCCTGGGGCCGCTGGTGCACTGACCACCACCTGCTCACATCTCGAGCGCTGGCTGTCATCTCAGCTCACCTTCCTATTTTTATGCACTAGTATCTACGAATGGCCGTCACGAAGACTGTTGTCATCTCGATGCTACGCTCATTCGCAAGCTATATTGAGCAACAGCTCACCTACACCAGTACTTGATGCATCATGGGTATATCGTGGTGGTGGGTGGACTTGAAGCTGGCTGAACCTCTACATTTAGGGCACACGTACGAATCGCGACCGCCTCTGCATGCGATCACGTTGAATCGTGAACAAAACAATGGTACTCCTAGCGTCGAATCGATACGGTGAATACCTGACGAATCTCCATCGCGATTAGATAGCCTACGACGGCCAGACTTTCGTCCGTACGCCACTTGGTACGTACCCCGCGGGCTGCGCGCATTCTTTCACATCAGCCTTACCAGGCCATCGGAAGCCATCGCACAGCCAGTCGAGATGCCTCGGCAAGATACCCTGCCAGTATTGCTTCCTTTTTGCGGGGAATATCCTCGTCGGACCGTCTTACCAGTTACAGCCGAGATGACATTCCCGCTCCCATCTCACCGGGACACCGAACGACGTTTCGAAAAGTTTAATTTTACCTGTCAGACGTTAAAAACGTCTACAACTGTCTACATACAAAATCCGCAAGATGTCCCAAAGCCTCAGGCACGTGGATGAGTTCTAGCAGCTGTGCCACAGCTAGCCACGTATCGACCGTATTTGGCGCCAGGCCCCAGCGAGCGAATCAGTGACACCGCTAGTCGCCGAATGTTCCACCGCGATGACGCACTTGTGTATTGCCTGGCGAAGCCGCCGGCACGGCAGGCGAGCTTGACTCCGTTGACGATTGCTACACGGTGTACGTGGAGTCGTTTGCGTTAGGCTGAGGCGGGGCGTATCTGCGGCTTATGCGTGATCGCGACAGCATTACGAGATGCTGGGTGGGTTGGACTAGGGCAAATGAGAGGAGTATATATGGATGCTCGACCCGTGCCTGATGGATGGGCCTCCCTTGCACGTTTGTACGTGGCTGTATCTCCTCTACCGTCGTGAGTCCCGAGCAATTGGAATATACACTTGGGTAGCCCTCGTCGTTACTTCTCCGTTCACACTTTCATCCCGTCCGCCAATATGTTGCAACTCGCAGCAGCAGCAGCCTTAATAGGTGCTGCATATGCACAGAACTCCTCCTTACCTACAGTAGATCTTGGCTACGAGATTTACCAGGCTTCAGGTTTCAATGTTCGTATACCATCCCAAATCCTCAATTTCGCCTTGTTAATCGACCCAATTAGGACACCGGCAACTTCTACAACTTCTCCAACATACGGTATGCTGCACCGCCCGTCGGTGACTTGAGGTTTGCACCACCTCAGGCTCCAGCGGAAAACAGGTCATCCATCAATACCGGCGAGACATCGAGGTAAGCGCCACAGGAAATCGACGTTCATACAACCATACTAACATCTACAGAATATGTCCCCAGGCAAATCCCGCTTGGTCTGCAGCCGCGGGACAGGCGTTGGCCAGATATGCGCTCGGCCTTCCTGCTTCGAACACGACTTATTCAGTAATGCCAGCAAATGCCACCAGTCCTGTCCCACAACCGGATCCCCGCGAGTCTGAAGATTGCTTATTCTTGGATGTTTTTGTTCCCGAGGATGTGCTTAGCAAAGCTGGGCAAGGCTACGGGGCTCCTGTTCTCGTATGGATCTACGGAGGCGGCTACACAGGAGGCGAGAAAAACAACAACCCTGCGGGTCTGCTCGCGGCTTCCGGCAACTCGTCCAATGGCGATGTTATCTACGTTGCGATGAATTATCGCCTTGGTGCTTTGGGCTGGATGGGTGGCCCTTCATACCAAGCGGAAGGAGGTGTTTCCAACCTAGGTCTGTACGATCAGCGATTTGCGCTTGAGTGGGTCCAGGAGAACATTCATCTCTTTGGAGGTGATAAGAACCGAGTAAGTCAGATCTGGTCCATGCATCTATGACTTGTGCTGATTTGCGTCTACAGGTCACTGTATTTGGTGAGAGTGCCGGAGGTGGTTCGATCATGCACCAGATTACTGCATACGGTGGTGCTAATGGATCTGCTCCCTTCCAGCAAGCCGTACCCCAGAGCCCTGGATGGCAACCCACAACTTCTGTTGTTACCCAGGAAGATGTCTACCAGAGGTTCCTTACTCTGACCAACACCACTTCCCTTGCCGAGTTGCGGGCTCTTTCATCTGAAGAGGTGATACTTGCGAATGCTCAGCAGATCACCTATGATTCTCCGTATGGCACATTTACTTACGGGCCCGTCGTGGACGGTCTTTTCGCTCCCCTTCAGCCAGCTCAGCTTTTGGCACAAGGCCGATTCGACAAGGACGTGCGCGTAATGGTCGGCCACAATGCGAATGAAGGAGCCCTCTTCACGCCCTTCTTCATTCCAAACGAGGCTGCATTGGAAAACCAAATCTCGGCCGCATTCGCCAACGCTCCAAAGTCTTCTCTTGATTACGTTACCAAGACTCTCTACCCCCCAGTGTTTGACGGGTCTCTTCCCTACACCAACAACTTCGAGCGGGGCAGCCTCATTGTCAGCGAGGGAGTCTTTACGTGCAACACCAACTACCTTTCCAGGGCCTACGGAAACAAGACATATTCTTACCTCTTTGCGGTTCCTCCGGCTATTCATGGTCAGGACATTCCGTACACGTACTTTGAGGGTGGTGCAGGTTCTACCGGGCTCCAAGGCGTTGCCAACACTACCATTGCCATCGCTCTGCAGGAGTTCATCACCAGCTTCGCTGAGAACGGTGTACCAGATGCTACAGGCGTGAAGCAGTTCAACATGTACGGTCCGGATGCGACAGTGTTGGAGCTCAACGTCACGGGCATCGAGGATGTACGCGACAGCAACGCGAACGCTAGGTGTGCATGGTGGCAGAAGGCGCTGTACTAGGCCTGAGCTTACGGAGTATTGTACCAATCGGTACGGCAAAAATAATCGTAATGAATCAAGATCGTGCACAATAACATAATGCACATGTAAAAATTTGTGATATCCCGGCATGCGAATTCCGTAAACGCGACGTTCCTCGCGCATGCATGGCAACACGCGGACCCACATCCGCGATTGGCTGATCATAACTACGTCATAGCACAGCAGCTCAGTCCACGCCCACACATCCTTTAAAGCTGTCTTCCGCACACACTCAAAGGAACCTCATCTAACAAACCATCGAACAACTCAATCGCCACCTCTCTCACCTCTACCAACAACTTCACCTCGAAACACCAACACCACACACATACCATCAACATGTTCCGCCAACAGATCGCTCGCCAGGCCCGCCTCTTCAGCACCACACCCGTCGCGCGCAAGAGCCCCGTTGAAGCTATCAAGGATGCTGCCAAGGCTGTCGACAGGACAATCTCCGGTGCCGCTGTAAAGGGCATTGAGAAGGGAGGTACGTACACACTCTATCCCTCACACATCCTACCTGCGTTACACTGCCTGATGCTCTCTGTTCTCAACAGCCGAGAATATGACGACATCGTACAGTGCGCACACCAGCTACGCTAGCACTATGAAGCAACAAACGCTAATACCTTTTGAACAGAGGAAGTCGCTGGCGCCGTTAAGGAAGCCACCCCCAACACCACCGGAGAGGCCAAGGGCCAGGCAAACGAGATGGCCGGCGAGGCCAAGGGCAAGGCTCAAGAGCTTAAGGGCGAGGCCAAGGGCAAGGCCCAAGAGCTCAAGGGTGAGGCTAAGAGCAAGATGTAAAGACGTCGACGGACATCAGGGACGACACATAATGACTTCGAGGAGGCATGCTTCGCTGCTATATCTGCACCGAATAAGAAGACGCCTAATCGTCACGGCAGAATGAATGAAATAATGTTTCAATGACGACATCATGGCTCTCATGGATGGTGATGGGATGTGTTTGTGTCGTTGAGACTATGTTGCTGACGCTGCGATATGAGGGACCACCCTTGTCTACGATCTCCATATTTGTACCGCGCTTCACTACACCGCTACCTTCCTTCCTCGCATTTCGGTTCGATCGTTCCCACACATCAGGTCACAGCCCAATCACCCCCCCCCCCTTCACGAGCTCGGCGCATGATTACGACAAAATCATCAGCAAGGTGTTATACGGGATAAGTGCGCGTTTTTGGTACGAGGTTGGAAGATGGTGCGTTGACGGTAAAGCTCTCCTGTTGAGCTCTAGGAGGCAGAAGAGACACCAGAAGCGGGTATTGATCACATCGCAAAGACGGCAAGATACGTCTAAAGAAACACATGTTGTATTGAACTATGGCCCAGGATCTTGCAGCCATAACCATTAAATACCCATCCCAGATATCATTGACACGGCGGGTGGGCGTTGAGGGAGAGAAGCGAAGATAACTCAACAAGAGGAAAAGGTATGTCTACACCATTGAAGGAAAGTAGAGAATGTAAGTGTGGTTTGTGTGGGTAAAGACGCAATGACATGTCGTAGCTTCACCAACTGTTCTCACAACGAGCCATCATGGCCCAACCGCGTGAGTATCGTGCAGTGGAGATTACATGAACCACATGCCCATCTACCAAGACAGTTAGTACTCATCCTTGTGGACATCAGACAGTAACAGGAACACTCACCATGCCTCTCTTCACTTTGTCATTCTGCGCCTCGTACGTCACCTCAGGTGGCATCGCGTACCCACTCTTGGTGGAGCTGGCACTCGTCTCAAAGGTCGTGAGTGTGAGACTGCCCGTCGCGCTGGTGAGGTAGGTACTAGAATCTACAGGCCAGGAGGAGGCTGTAGCATCCGTGTTGGTGACCGAGCTGACGGGTGGTGTCCAGTAGGAATAGCCCGAAGTGGAGCTGCTGGGGTAAGCGGTGGAGGACTCGACAGGGAAGGAAGTAGCGGTGGCGTCGGTATAAGTTGAGCTTAGAGAACTCTCGGAGGCTGAGGGTATAGAGGAAGTCTCGACTTCAGAGCTGGACTCGCTGCTAGATGATGCTGAGGTGGTGGAGGAAGAGGGGAAGGTGGTGTACTCCGTCTCGCTATACATGGATGAGCTAGATACTTCGGGGGTCTCCGAGCTGGTCGAGCTAACAGACGTGACTGGAGAGTCGGAAGAGGAGGTGTCAGAGGGTGTCGGCGTCGGGATGGGTGTCTCGATAGTACCAGAATCACTGGTCAACGACTCCGACGGCGTCTCGGAAGGCAAGACGAAGCTGCTAGTGCCTGAAGTTACCGACTCAGTGTACGAAGCAAGCTCAGAGTCTGTAGATGACTCGCTGAATGAGGATGACCAGTACGAATAGCTCTCCGTGGTCGGCGACGGCGTAGACGAAGTTATGACTTCAGACGACGTGGGCGTGGAAGAGTCTGACGTCGTCTCGATGGAGCTGAACGAGATGCTGAATGAATAGGACAACGATGACGTTGCAGAATCAGTCTCTGAAGCACTAGGTACGCTGCTGGTATCATATGTGGAAGATGCCGTGTATGACGGTGTGTATGAAGCCAGCGAAGAAGAGGCTGAAGAGGTTGCAGTTTCAGTAGCTGACGACGACTCTTCGGAACTAGTGGGTGTATATGAAGAGCCGTCCGTTGTCGAAGATCTCGACATGGTGAGCGTCCTAGACCAAGTGCGTGTGGAGGAGCGACTCCGGGTGACTCTTGACTTCCTAGACGTCGATGAATGCGAAGTCGAAGATGAAGTGTAGGAGTCAGTGGTCGGCGTTGGAGTCTCCGACTGGGTATAAGAAACTTCGGAAGTATAGGTGATCCAGGAGATTGTTGAGATATCGATCGTCGAGGAGTATGCAGTATCGGTCTCACTGGGGCTACCGCTGCTGGTGGCGTTGCCAGGGGGGCCGTAGTAGCCTGACGACGACGGTGTCTGGGAAATAGTTCCGTTTCCACTGGATGTTGCCGTGGGCCCAGTGTTCGTCTCCGTAAGAGTACCATTGGAAGGGTATGGAACGGATGTGGTAATGGCAATAGTAGAGGTGATTACGGACGTAATCACAGTTACATTGGTGCTTGGGCTTTCTGTAGTTGTCGATGGGCGTGGAACGTATGAGCTTCTGGATCCAGTGGAGTTGGTACTCGCAGTGGAGGTCAAAGATGGCATTGAAGATCCTGGCGCGGTACCTGTACCCCAAGTAGATGAAGCTGTACCAGTGCTGTTGCCATAAGGCGCAGAAGAATCATGTGGCGGCAAAGTTGGGTAGTACCCTGTCCCGGAAGACTGTGGTCCAGTCGAAAGAGGGATGCTCATGGAAGAAGAGCTGCTGCCCCAGCTGCTCGCTGTAGCTTCGGTCGACGTATCTCCAGATACAGTTTCACTGAGCGATGAATTAGTTGAACGAGCAAATATCTCCAGGAATAATCATAACCCACGATGTCGAGGGGACAATAACCGATGTGATAACAACTACACTAGTGTAGACGACTGTAGAGGGTCCTGGCGCAGTAGAGTTTGCAGTTGACGAAGGCGGCGGAACAGGAGGTGTCCAAGTAGAAAGCGAGACGCCAGTGCCGCTGGAGTAGGTAGAAGACGCACTTCCGCCGGTGCTGCTCGAACTTGGGTACGGAGGAGAGTATGGCGGTGGTGGTGCATACTGCCTAGGCCGTACATGCTGTGGGAAGTTCACTATTTCAGAAGATTAACTCACATTCCAATATTTGAGACAACGTGATGCTTGGTACGTTGACGGGAGAAGTGTGTACGTCCAACAGCAGATACGATGGGGAGACTTACATGACACCCGCTCAGCTGCAGTGAGCGTTAGGAAAGCCGCGAATGGAATGAAGGTACTGAGCTTCATGGTTGCTGTGTGAGTCGCAAGACACACCTGTTCCAAGAGGTGAAGAAAGAAACGAGTGTTGAGGGGAAGTAACGAAAGGATGTGTCGAACAGACAACTACAGCAGGACAGCTTGAGCCTCGATTGCCTGGAGACGATGGCCTTATATGTGATGATCTATGTTCCACCGCGACAATATCATGACACGATACTGCTACAGCCGTACGGCCGCAGTGAAATACTCGGTTAGCTCCACTACGGGCATGCAGCACGGCATTATGCTTGTATCGATGGTATCCGATTCTTTGAACCATGACAACGTCTACGATGAAGACGGTTAGTTTGCAAACCATGACTTCTATGCGCTTGCAGCTAAACATGTTGGGCTCCGTCTCTTGACTACGGAACTTTGGAGTAGCGGCTGCCTATGAGAAAGACATGCACCGCTTCGATAGGCCATAATGGCTTCGGCCGATGCATAGCAGCCCGCATACGAGGTAGCCGGTGTATGCATTTAAATTGTTAGTGCAACAATCCGCTGATATCTTGAGTCTAACCCAAGAAAGTAATCACGGGAGGGTAGACGACGGACGGATAGCAACATGACACTGCAGCGCAGCGATCACCGATAGTAGTACAGAAGGCGAAGGCAGAACTTCGCGAATGACGAAGTGACCCGGCCTACTGTTGTTGAGACTGAACGAATTGATACAGTCACTTCTCTAGGCATGGTGTTGTTGCGAGCCAATGGACTCGAGTAACTCGACACTGAAGAAGCGTACCCAGTGTCGTAACGCTCGACCGACCTCGTATTCCCGGGCATCCAAAGGGTGATACAGAGGTTTGTAGTGCCACACCGCCTTAGAGATCCCTTACGACGTCGTTTGCCTATCATAAGGTTGCGTGCACTTTTGGAGGAGTGTAAGACTCCCGGGCCTATGTGCGGTCGGCAATGTGCCTGAATAATCGGTCTTCAGCCATTTTCATCTGGCTCGATGCATGAGCCATATGCGAATCCTACTGTCTCCCCAAAATGTCGAACGCGGTCGGATTGCGATACCGGCCTCGATTCTAGGCATGGTCCTGACCCTTTCGGGTCCTACCAGCCGCATGTACCAGGGTACAATACCAGAGCCTGCTCGGGGAACGCGACAAATGGACCATGGATGACTCGAGATCAGGGATCGTACTATGATGTTCGTATGGTCTGCAGGCGGAGAGTTCCATCACTAGCTCGATGCACAGATGCAGGAACCAGACTCACGCTCAGGGTGCTGCGTCTCACAAGCAACCGCAGTAGGACGACGCGACTGACGCAGAAAGCCGTTAGAACGTCCCGACGGTTCAGGGATCTCGATGCAGAGGAAACAGGGACCGAACATGGACAGCGGCGCAGACCAGCTAGACTGGGTATGTCGTAGAAATGGTATGGATCTGTTAGAAGATCGGAGGACGGCAAAGTCCACGGGCGCTGTACACGACGCTGGGTAGCGCGCCTTCATCAGCATCACGTGAGCCAACCCGCAGGGACACCTCTATCTTCCACGGATGACTTTGATAAGTGCAGACGCACCCATGTGAACTCACCGTTCACAAGAAGGTGATTTGTTACGTGGCAAAAGAGGTGCGCACAACCGCACTCCAGAACTAGTCCATGCTACGCTCCCTACGACGAGCCGCCTACTACCGGGGAGGAAGTACAAGTTGGAAGGCCTAACCCTCCCAGGCTGTGTACCATCCCCAGTTTGGGGTACTGAACCCTGAAGACCTGATCGAGCAACGGTCCGCAAGCAGGGATATCATCGGGCTCTCATAATCTCAGTTTGGGCGTGAGTTGCAGAATTCACTTCGTCAAAAACATCACTTGAGGGTACCCGAGATTAGAAGGACTATTGTATACGGCTAATGACCGTTACAATTATGTATTATACAGGAACACTTCAAATCGAAGGATTACTGAGAGAGGAGATCGCTGTAGGGGCAGCAGCACCCTCAAGCGCCTAAAGAAGGATGGCTGCAGCCTAGGTATGGACCTTCTCTTCATCCGCAGGAAGACGCCTTACAACGCCTTCAGTCGTAACCTCGTAAACGACACTGTACAAAAGGTATCATGTGCGTGTGAAACCAGAACCGTTACCCAAAGACGCAACAAAGTATCGAAGAGCTTAGCGGACAAGATCCTGGAAGGATCGTACAAAAGGACCTTGGTCCAGAAAGACAAAAAAGGAAGATAAATATAGCGAAAATGATACCTAATCCCAGTTGACGAGACTGTTGCCGTTGTCGTGGTCATTGGCTGATTGGTCATCGAATGATTGAGGGAAATCGCTGCCCTGGAAATCGAAAAAGGCACTGTATTCACCAGTACCAGGCGTCAAAAACGAATCATTGGAATAAAAACCATCAGAGATGGCGCTAGGTACCGACGGCGACGTGGTACCTGAAACAGGTTCAGCCTTCAGGTTCAGACCAGATGACAATGTTTGAGCCGAACCACTGGCGTGCTCAGACATGCTACCGGTGTTAGCTGTCCGACCAACCTTGTTGGGGTTGTAGGTGTAGGTCGGAGCAAAAGGCTGAGGTAGGTTGTCGCTGCCTGCCATGAAGACTGCAGTGCGTGGATCGTTCTGATCCAGGACAGATCCAAGGAACTGCTGTGACTCGGGTGGCATGGACAAAGTCAAAGGGTTGGTGTTGAGCGCCTGCGAGCTGTATGGGTAGTTCGTAGGGCTGTAGGAATAAGAGGACGGTGAATTAGGATCACTCTGCACAGGTGCAGCCTCATGCACGGAAGCTGCATTGGGCGAAGCGCTCTGTGGTGAAGATGACTGACGGTGCTGGAGCGAGTGGGCAGTAGGCGAACGCGATAAAGAAGGACGCGTTTGTCGCTCTACTGTCTGGTTTTGTTGTTGGAAAGCTTGCGGCGGTAAAGACAGTCTTCGGTTGAGCTCAGTCTGAGGCGTTGTGATACCTGCACTCGCCGGCTGAGCTGATGGGTCAAAGTGCGATGCGCCCTGGGGCAGTTGAATGGAAAGAGCGCGCTGGTGAGAGTGAGTGCGTTGAGGGATCTGGTACGGCGACTGTCTGTATCCCTGTTGCGGCTGAGCGGTGGTCGGGCTGAAGGATTGCGCTTGCTGGAAACCTTGTGGAGACGCGGGAGCGAACTGTTGAGGCGGGAGCATTGACGGGTTCAGCCAGTTGTTCGGCTGTGCAAATTGAGCGCCATTGGCCGGATACTGTGAACCATACTGCTGGAACGCCGCGCCTTGGTTCTGATACTGGGACATGAACATGTTTCTGACACCGTGCTGGGTCGCAATGTAGTCATGTAGCTTCTTGTTGAACATGACCGAAGTTGTTTGAAGATGAGCGTTTAGGCGCTGGTACTGGGTAGGCAGATCATCGTCCTCTTCTTCGTACATCTCTTCATTGATGACATCCTGCTCGGTCACGCGAAGAGCACGGCCCGTGCGCTTCTTGTGAATCTCAGAAGCTCTACGAGCGGACTCAATGCGAGCCTCCAGGCTGCGGTCACTGCGGCGCGAGGCAGCAATGTAGGCACTGTTGGGCATCAGAATTGGTTGCGTGCGGAGTAAGTAGAGACGACTAACCGCTCCTGGTTCTCTTCATGAGTGCGCTCGGTCTTGACCGGTCTGGCCGAGGTGAAGGTTCGACGTTCGGCAGGCATGGCGAGGTCCAAGCAGCAGATGGTAGGCAACGTGCGGTGTGTGGCGAAGTTTGTGTGTGGGTGAGGGTGGGGTAGCTGACAGATAGCGATGTCAGCACAACAACAGAAGGCTGATTGGTACAGTTCGAGGGGTACGTCTAGCAACGACTTCGACTGTGAAGAATAATGGAAGAAGGAGAAAGTGCGAGGAGCGGGCGGGCAAAGTATGTAAACGGAGAGGGGAAAAG